CCCCCCCTCGGACCCCCCCCCTCGAGCCAGCGCGTGGTCTGCTAAGTCGTAATAATATATGTACTGTATTTTTAACAAAAAAGCGGGGAAGATAGAGGAAAAGGAGGGGTCGGGCGGCGCGTAGGCTAGCTGAGAGAGCAACGCACGCCGCGCGAAAGAGACAGCAGAGTCAACTTCTTAGGGTAGCAACCTGGAATGTGCGGACTTTGGCTGTAAATGGGGCCAATGGATACGGGCGAGCCTACAGCGTTCTACACGAGGCAGCGAGACAAGACGTATCGGTGGTAGGAATGCAGGAGACACTGAGGGCAGGTCGAACGGAATTTGCAGCAGCGGGTTTCCGGGTGTTCTGCTTGGTACGGAGACTGGTTGAGTCCATGGTGTGGGGGTAGCCGTCAAAGAGTCATTGTGCAAGACATCCACGTTCACCACGGAGTGTATCGACGAACGCCTTGTGGCCATGAGGTTTCTGTTGGCAGGCCACCGTGGAGCGGTCAACTTCGTAGCCGCGTATGCTCCAACCGAACCTTCAACCGCGGACAGCAAGCGCGTGTTCTGGGGAAAACTTGATAGTCTCGTGCGGAGGATCCCTTCCAAAGAATGTGTGTATGTCCTACTGGACGCCAACGCGCAGACGGGAGATAGGTTGGGGTAAAGGAATGTACGGGCGTGATGAGCTCAATGACAATGGCATGCTACTGTTGAATTTCGCAACGGAAAATTGGCTTAGCTCTCACGAACACTTTGTTCGAGACACGCAAGGGCGGAATATGGCACACATACAACGGTGTATCGGTAAACGATTGCAAACGCCTTGACTACATCCTGACAATGCAGGCACATCACGGCCGAGTATCTAATGTGGTTGTCATCCCCCAGCTGGTTCGCCCAGTCAAAGCAGACTCAGACCACAATATGGTAGTAGCCACCGTCAACCTCGGTGGCAGGCTTGCCCACAACCGTGCAGTCCGGACTAAACCGAAACAGAAGCAATTCAACCGACGGGAAGTGCACTTCGAAGCAGCACGGGGCGCGGTGACTAATCGGTTCCTCCTCAACCTCGACACAAGGCTCGACGACCGAACAACCACCGCCGAAGAATTGGCGACCGACTTTACCAATGCTCTCCTCGAAGCAGCGCGGACGACCCAGGAGGAGGAACCGCGGAGACGCCGCACGCAGGAGTGGTGTGAGACCCCAGAGATGAGAGCAGCGCTGGAGCAGGCCCTTACCACACGGCGGGAAGCGCGCCGGGCGACGAGGGGCAACTGGCAGCAGTCGAAACGGGCATTTATGCCCACCTGGGCGGATATGTGACTGAACTCGAAGCAATTTACAAAGATCGCGACATGCGAGGACTGTACCAACACCTCAAGAGATCAGGGGGCCTCAGCGGGAGACAAACGGGGGGACAACAGATCATCGCCGATGACAACGGCGTGCTGCTCCGGAACAAGGACGACATCCTCCAGCGGTGGGCGAGATTCTTCAGCACCCTACTCAACACCAAACCCCCCACCCTGAACCCAAACATCATCGAACGAGTGACGCAGCGGCCAGCGACACGTGACACTCAACGGTTGGGAGAGGTGCCAGAACTCGAGGAGGTGGCACGGGCAACGAAAGGCCTCAAGAACTGGAAGGCACCCGGCCATGACTCCCTCCCTGCCGAGTTGCTCAAGATCGATGACGACGAACTCTTCGTCCTGGGACACCTCCATACCATCCTCGTCAAGATATGGAACGGAGGAGATATCCCGCGAGAGTGGAAGGATGCAACCATCAACGTGCTGTACAAGAACGGTGACCGGTCCAACTGAAACAACTACGGGGGGATTTCGCTACTATCTCATGTAGGCAAGGTTCCCATCAAGATCATCACCAACCGTCTAAGCGCCTTCTGCAAAGCCAACAACATCCTCCTGGAGGAACAGTGCGCATTTCGACCCGGGCGATCCGCCGTCGACATGCTGTTCGTCTTGCGCCGCCTCCAGGAGCTGGAGCTGAGAAAGAAAATACCGCTCTAGATGTGCTTCGTCGACTTGAAGAAGGCGTATAATTCGGTGGACCGAGAGATGCTATGGAAGGTGCTGGCCAGGGCCGGGATTCTCGCGAAGCTGATCGAGGTCATCCGCCAGTTCCACGATGGAATGCGAGCCCGGATGCGCATGGACGACGGAGAACTATCGGACTGGTCCTTCGTGACACAGGGCGTGCGACAAGGATGTATGCTATCCCCACTGCTGTTCAACATCTGCTTCGCCGAGGTCCTCGAGGTCGTTGTCATCCGATTCAGAGAGGATGATAATGTTCTGCGGAGCCTGGTGTGCCTGGAGGAGGGGAAAACGGAAGCGGGGGGGGGAAGGAGACACCCCTTGACCGAGTACGGAGGGCAGTGCGGGTGTACTCATAGTCGTGCATGTCGTAGTCGTTAGACCATTGACCTCGTATCCCTACAAAGCCGGGACGGAGCACGCCGGGTTCTCACCGGACCAAGCTCTCACATCACCAAGCGTGAAGCGCCGTGAGATACTCGACGAGTCGCATGAAGGGTGCGCTGCATCCTGCTAAGGGTGTTCGGCATCTTGTGCTTACTTCCTTACGTACGGATGACAGCTGCGAATGACTTACTTAATTTATTTTCTGGTGCTTTCATTTCCAAAGACAGTTGTAAGCACTGTGTAACTGCCTCGAGGGTGCTTTACCATTATAACACAACGTGGTGCGATCATCCCCCTTGCGCGGAGTGAGGGTTCACCCCGCACAACATGATCTACTCAACCATCATTATGGTTACTGCCCAAAAAAAATAAACGGAGAAAAAAAAAAAGAACGGTAACCTGGTTGCCGAGTTCACGAAGTGAATTGGCTTGTTTACAACGCCGTTGCTAAGCGACGAAAACCCAATCCCGATGGCAAACATCGATGGGGGGACTTGTTTTACAACGTCGTTGCCGAGCGACGAAAACGCAATCCCGATGGCAAACACCGATGGGGGGGCTTGTTTTACAACGTCGTTGCCAAGCGACGAAAACCCAATCCCGAT